TTCTAAGAGGAAAGAAAACCCAGAGCTTGAAGGATGGATAAAAGAAGGTGTGGGTATGGAAAAACATAACAGGTAAAAACAAAAACAAAAACAAAAACCAAGAACAAAAACCCAGCCTGTTCAGTGTGCCAGATGCACAAAAGAGTCCAGCTCAGTGATGGAGATGTGGGCCACAGGGTAGACCAGATGCCAGTCCACTAGAATCCAATGCTCTCCTCAAGTATCACAAAAAACAGACTCCCACCCCACCCTCCTGCACATGCAGACTAGAATCTAAGTTCCATGAGTGCAGAATTTTTGTTTTTTTTGGGGGGGGGGCGGGTCTTTCTTATTCACTGATAGATTCCAAGCATCAAGAATAGTGTCTGGCACACAGTCAGCCCTGAATATTTCTTGGATGAATAAATGAAGTATGATTCAGTGCTTGGGTGTACAACCTAGAGGAGAAATAGAGTAAGTGTTCAATGAACAATGGTTATTGTTGACATAACTAGTATTTGTGTCTGGAAGTTAAATACAAAAACTCAGTAAACACTAATAGTTAATTGTGCTGGGTATCACAATTTGAAGGGTTTCGAAAATTATTTTGAATTAAGGTATAATGACATGCAATAAAATAAAGAGATCTTGGGTGATAGTTTGACACATTTTGACAAATGTTCAAGATGGGAAATATTGCCATCACTCTAGAAAGCTCCTGGGCCCCTTTCCTATGGACGGCCCCCTGTCACAAAAGCAACCATTATCCTTGTATCAAACTGCATAGACTGGTTTTGCCTCTTCTTGAACTTCACATAAATGGATTTATATGGTATATTCCTCTAGGTCTCTGGTTTTTTTGTTCCACATAATATTCTGGCAATTCATCCATGTTCTAGGTATTACCAATTCATTCCTTATTAATGAGTAGCATGCCACTTTATGAATATGCTATAATTTATTTATCCATTCTTTGTTGATGGACAGTCACACTCCTTCTGATGTTTTGCCATGATGAGTAAAGTTGTGATGAACATTCTTATACGAATATTACTTTTGGGATATATGTTTCTATTTCTTTACAGTAAATACCTAGGATGTAATTGCTGGGTTGGAAGGTTTGTGTATGCTTTTTGCTTTATAAAAAACTGCCAAACACTTTTCCATGGTGACTGTAATTTTACATTCCCAGTGGACATATATGAGATTCAGTTGCTCCATGTCCTTACCAACACTTGGTATTGTCAGTCTTTTTCATTTTAGCCATTCAGTGGGTGGGAAGTGATAGATCATGATGGTTTTAGTTTGCATATCTCTGATGATCAACGGTGGTAAGCATGTTTTCACTTACTTATTGGCCATCTGAGTAATATCTTCTGCCAAGTGTCTAACTTAATTTCCCACTTTTATGTTGTTTTATTTATTTTTTTAAATATTTTATTTATTTATTTGACAGAGAGAGATCACAAGTAGACAGAGAGGCAGGCAGAGAGACAGAGAGAGGGAAGCAGGCTCCTTGCTGAGCAGAGAGCCCGATGCGGGACTCGATCCCAGGACCCTGAGATCATGACCTGAGCCGAAGGCAGAGGCTTAACCCACTGAGCCACCCAGGCGCCCCTTATTTTTTATGATTGATTTTAGGAGTTCTTTATATATTCTGGACACGAGCCCTTTGGGATATACACAGAGAGTTAGTATTTTTTCCCCAACCTGTGGCATGCCTTTTTCATTTTCTAACAATGTCTGTACATGAGAAAAATTCAAAAACTTTTAAATTTTGATGGAGTTCAGTCTATTTATTTTAAAGATTTTATTTATTTGAGAGAGAGAATGCGTATGCATGTGTGTGTGTGAAAGAGAGAGCATGGAGGGACAGGGAGAAGCACAGTCCCCTCTGAGCAAAGATCCTGATGCAGGGCTCGATCCCAGGATCTTGAGATCTTGAACTGAGCTGAAGGCAGACGCTTAACTGACTGAGCCACCCAGGCGTCCCCAGTTTGCTATTTTTACTATACACTAAATGCCTTTTGCATTCTGCTTTCTCAGATCACACTGATATCCTCCTAAATTTTCTTCTAAAAACATCACAGTTTTAGCTTTTACATTTAGGTCTGAAATTTAAGTAATTTTTATGTATAATGTGAGCTATGGGTCAAGGTATTTTTTTTTTTCTCTATACGGATATCTGATTAATTTAGTGCCATTTATTAAAAAGACTTTCCTTTTGAGGTGCCTGGGTGGCTTAGTCGGTTCTGTCTGACTCTTGGTTTTGGCTCAGGTCATGATCTCAGGTTGCGAGATCGAGCCCCAAGGAGGGCTCCACACTCAGTGTAGAATCTACTTGAGATTCTCTGCCTCTCCCTCTGTCCTCACACCACCCCCCACACTCCCACCAAGCTCTCTGTCTCTCTAAAATAAATAAATCTTTAAAAAAAAAAGACTTTCCTTTCCCCCATTTTCATAATTATTCCTCAGAAAGCAATTGAAAGCATGCCTGTGGATATACTTTCATCATTTCATCACTGTATGAGATGTGAGTTACAGGAATTTCATAGATAACCTTTATCAGATTGCAAAATCTCCCCCCTTTATCACAAATGGATGTATCAGATTTTGTCAAATGCTTTCTCTGCATCTACTGAGATTACATTTTTCTCCTTTATTACATTAATATGGTAAGTTACACTCATTTATTTTTTGAATGTTAAACCAATCTTGAGTTCCTAGGGTAAACACTATTTATCCATGATATATTATTTTTTAAATAGATTGCTTGATTTTGATTATTAATATATTGAAACACCATGTAGACTGGTGTTATTTCTTTTTAAAATGTCTGATGGAATTCACAGCCAAGCCATCTAGGTCAGGAGTTTTTATTGTTTTTGAAATGGGAAAGATTTCAGTTATGAATTCAATTTCTTAGCAAGTTTAGAGTTTAGAAACTTAGAGACTTCAGGCCATCTATTTCATTTTTAGGTCAATTTTGGAAATTTGTGGGTTTTATTGTTTGTTTTACAAAAAATGTACCCATTTTATCTACATAGTGGAATTTGTTGACATACATTATTCATAATTTTTTATCATTTTAGTGTCTGCAGGATCTGTAACGATTGTAGTGATATTTCCTCTTGCATTTTTAGTATTTTTTTCATTAGTATTTGTCTTTTATCTGTTTCATGTGATCACTCTTGCTAGAAATTACAAATTTCATTAATCTTTTCAAAGAACTACCTTTTGGCTTTGTTGATTTTCTCTATATTTTGTGTTCTACCTTGATTTTTACCCTTATATTTGTGTTTTTCTTCCATTTCATTTGGGTTTACTTTGCTCTTCTTTTTCTAGTCTCTCAATGCAGAGGCTTAAATCAATGACTTTACACATGCCTTGTTTTTTTTAAATTATAAGTATTTCAAGCTATAAACGTCCCCCTAAGCACACCTTCCGCTTTATTCTTCAAATCTGCTATGCTGTGTTTTTATTGTCATTTCATTCAAAATATTTGCTAATGTGTTTCGATTTCTTCTTTGACCCACGAGCTATTCAGAAGTATTACCCATTTTCCAAACATCTGGGGATTCCCTAGATCTGCTTTTATTATAACCTTTTATTTTAACACTGTGTGGTCCAAGAATGTATTCTCCATTATTTCCATCCTTTGAAACATATCGAGACTTGTTTTTTGCTCCAGGACACAGTCTGCTTGTGACTTTCCAGACTGCTGGTGACTTTTCTAAGTATGCTTGAAGGTAAGTCTCTTTTGTAGCTGATGGGTGTAGCAAGCAAAAATCTTCCAGAGCTTTCTTTCTATCTTTCCTTCTAGGAAACCATCCCAGATTCCCCAAAGTCAATGCTTTTGTTTCCACAGTACTTTCTTCTGATCCTAGTTAATTACAGTATGGCTCCCACCACATATCCCACATCTTCCTATCCCCTAGGATCTCTCAAGCACCATCTGATGTGCAAAGTGAAATTTCAAGTTGCTTGAGGTGGTTCAGAAGCTGTGCCTTGCTTATCAAGAAAGATAAGATAATGACCCAGGCTTCCTTTCACAATCTTTTGTTCTGCTCTTTATGTGATGGTGTGGCAAGGAATTTGGGATCTGGTGGGGAGAGAGGGCAAGTGGGGCAGATATTGCCATTGTTTGCGTGGGGTTGTCTATAAAACCCCCATGACATCTCCCCTGTTTAACTCAGGACATGGCTTGTTGTGGCGGAGTGTGATAATTTTTCCTGTAGAGTTATGTTTTATATTTTTCTTTTTTTAAAAAAGATTTTATTTATTTATTTGACAGACAGAGATCACAAGTAGGCAGAGAGGCAGGTGGAAAGAGAGAGGAGGAAACAGGCTCCCCACTGAGCAGACAACCCGATGCGGGGCTTGATCCCAGGACCCTGGGATCATGACCTGAGCCAAAGGCAGAGGCTTAACCCACTGAGCCACCCAGGTGCCCCAATGTTTTATATTTTTCAAGAGTTGATATATATGTCCTAGAAAATGTGCCTTATGAGAACTATAACCTCCTTCTCCTATCTGTGATTTACAGAAGTGATACACTTAAGTTTTGGGAATTAGTTGACTTAAAGTAAAAGACAATGTAAGTGAAAATATAGGGGTTTAGGTACATGGCAAAATGTGTAAACACGGTACTTAATATGGGTATAGGCAAACTGGTGAGATCGCTGCTCTACGGTAAACCTTTGCTATTCCTACAACGTGAACCAACCTTTAGTCTTTAAATTACTTATCCTAAATCCTTCAAGGACCCTTCCCAATGAGACTGGAGAAGCTGACACAAGGAACAGCACACAGTTACCACAGCTGACCCAGAAAAAGAATTCCAGCTACACCTTATGATATTCGGTCCAACTCGTGCCAAGAAAGATCTGCTCCTGGCGGTGGGATGGGATCTGGAGTGGCTCAGCAGGAAATGTTCTGGGAAAAGGAGTTGCTGAGCCCTTCCACCGCCCACGCTTTCAGCCTTCCCACTCCCAGCATTCAACATGCAGAAGGACGCTCACCTTCTCCCATTCTCGGTCCTTGTTCAGCACAATCACCACCAGCCTGGGGTGCACCTGGTAGCCTTCCTCAGTGAAGGACAAGTCTTTGCCATCCCATGTCACGTTGACCATGAATCTAGAGAGAAGAAGAGAGAAAGACAAGTTTTTAGGGAAGAAGGAAAGAGGTCAGATGACTGGACAGCACCATCTGCGTAACTCACGGAAGATAGGCTTACATGGCCGTCATCACCTGTGACAAGTGGCCTCTATGTGTGGGAGTACTGGTACCCATGCTGGTACTGCTAACTGGCCAGGCACTCATTTCCAGGAGCCTGTACTCACTCTTGGAATCCCCCACCCTATACAGATGTTAGCAATGGACTGTCATTAGCGCACGTGACAGAACCTTTTGGCCCTGCCGCACCCACAGACCTCTGTTCAAATGACGTTACAGAAGATCTTAAAGCATGTTCTATTACATTTTAACAAGTTTCCCTAAAGGAAGCTGCTGGCTCTTTGACCATGTGGGATGCAACTTCAAAGAAATGGTATCCCACCTATTCATTACTCATCCTGCTAATCTTACTAAACGCTCGCTACATGCCAGGACTCAGACACTTGACCGAGGACAAATAAGGAAACAAAAAAACAAAAAAAAAAATAAAGGGAACAGACATGATTCCTCCCCTCATGAAGCTTCCAGTCTAGAGGAGAGAAAAGGAATTAATCATTTACAGATCTATGACAAGTGTTATCAGAGTGAGGTGGGTGAGCTGTCTGGAGGTGAAACAGGGGTCAGGCAGGGCTTCTATGAGGAAGTCTGGCTTCACTGGAAAGACGAGTCAGCATTAACTAGGTTAAAAAAAAGACATAAGTAAATTCGAGGTAAAAAGGGTAGTAGGTGCAAAGGCCCTGTGGCTGTACATACAAGAGACTGACTGCAAACCAATGAGACGGAAGCAGAGAGAGACAGAAGAATGTGGGATGTGGTGTGGCTGAGAAGGTGAATAGGGGAGATAGTGCCAAGGTTTTTAGGCCACATTCAAGAGTTCTGTCCTTGTTTTATTATTTTTTTAAGATTTTATTTATTTATTTGACCCAGAGAGAGAGATTACAAGTAGGCAGAGAGGCAGGCAGAGAGAAAGGAGGAAGCGGGCTCCCTGCTGAGCAGAGAGCCCGATGCGGGGCTCGATCTGAGGACCCTGGGATCATGACCTGAGCTGAAGGCAGAGGCTTTAACCCACTGAGCCACCCAGACGTCCCATCTGTCCTTGTTTTAAAACATAAGATCACACTGAAGATTTTAACCAAGGAGGCAAAACAATCAGATTTGACTTGAGGCTGGGTAGAGAGTGGGTTGGAGGCAACCAGAGTGAGTGCACAGGGGTGGGTTACAGTGTGCTTATTCTCCAGGTCAGAGATGATGTTGGCTTTGGCTCTGTCATGGCCCCAACGGAGGAGGAGAATGAGGACTAGGAGTCGCCACAAACAAGATCAGGTGGAGAATATTTAGCAGGTAATCAGTGATGTGAAGGTTGGGGAGAGAGAAGCAACAAGGACAACATCTCAGCATCTGCCTTATATAACATCCGCGTGGTCAACCACTGTCCTAGCACTTCTGTTGCACAGGACATCTGTCTGCCTTATGACCATCTTACCTCCACCCCTATTCAAAAGCCACCTTGCCTGCAGGCAGGCTGGATGTGGATGAGGAGGGAGGCATGGCAGAGCTCCCCTCCCAGGATTTGGGGGGCAGGATCCCCAGGAGTCCACATCCTTTGTAGCTTGAGAAAAAGGTGATATTGTTGGAGACTTCCAAGGAAACACATCAATTAACAAGCTCAATGAAGGTAGTACGGTGGGCTGAAATACTTGGAGATCCCAGAGAGACAGGGTATCTCGAGACCATGGCATTTTCTTGGTTTATACGCCTTTAATTCCGAAAGTAGCTGAAGAAGTAAAATATTAACAAGGAGAAATAGAGTATAAAAAATTCAAAAGCGAGACACTGTCCTAACTGGTCACATGTCTGCCCTGAGCTGTGTCGTATGGGGGGAAAATCAGGTCTCCCAGGACAAGGTAAAGAAATTGGGGAAAAGGCAAAAAAAAACAAATATTGTGTATCCACTCAATGAACTATTTGGGGTTTTGAAAATCGTATTTTCGATGACAAGTTAATGGAGAGGAGAAAATGCTCACTCTTTCACATTAAATAAGCAGAAGAGGATAAAAATAAGGTTTGTCTGTGCATAGAAAGATTACAGGTACTTTTATTTTCTTTTGTGTATCTTTGTGTTCTCCAAATTTTCTGCAAATAGTGTCTGTTAAAAAACAGAAAAAAATATACCACTGCAATTCCAGAAGGAGCAGAGAGTAACCACTCTCCTACTGGGGGCACATGAGGTGTCTGGGATCATTTCTTAGTAGGATATTTTCTGTTGATTCAACAACTATTTGCTGCATGTCTATTATGTGTCAGGCCCTATGGGGAGTCCTATAGATACGGAAATAAAAACCACAGTGCCTGTCCACCCTCCTACCCACACGTTCACCACCCGGTAACACAGGCACATAAACAATGACAGCACGAAGAATGCCGCTCATGTAGGGATGCTTAAGAAGTGGGAGAAGCGGGAATGCAGAGGGAAGCCCCTCACTCAAGCTAAGGGCTCGGGGGTGGGGCTTCCTGGGGAATCTTGAAGAGAGAAGGAGTTAAGAAGAGGCGGGAGACAGGTGATTGGGTGGCTCTGTTGGTTAAGGGGTTAAGCATCTGACTTGATTTCAGCTCAGGTCTTGATCTCAGGGTCATGAGTTCAAGCCCCGCATTGGGCTCAGTGTTGAGCATGAAGCCTACTTTAAAAAAAAAAAAAAAAAAAACGAGGGTGCCTGGGTGGCTCAGTGGGTTAAAGCCTCTGCCTTCCGCTCAGGTCATGATCCCAGGGTCCTGGGATCAAGCCCCGCATCAGGCTCTCTGCTCACCGGGGAGCCTGCTTCCTCCTCTCTCTCTGCCTGTCTCTCTACCTACTTGTGATCTCTATCTGTCAAATGAATAAATTAAAAAAAAATCTTAAAAAAAAAAAAAACGAGGAGAAGGAGAAAAGAATTCTGAGCAAAGGCATCGCCTTGAGAAAAGAAGAGTCAGCAAAGGTCAGCAGCGTGTCACACGCTGGGGAAAACAGGGAATAGCTTAATAAGCTATTAGGGCAGTGGGATTCCTCTGGTGTGGATCCCTGAAGCCGGATCCTAAAGGACCTTGAATGCTACCCTAAATCATTTGGGTTTTGTTCAGAAGGCTGGAGAGATCTATGAAAGGTTTTAAACAAAGGAGGGATGCATAGATTTGCTGGCAAGAGAAGCAGAGATAAAACTGCTTCTTTCCTTCTCTGCACTGGAGGACAACTTCATTTTTGTTTATGGCTAAAAAAACGTCATTAATTGTGTGTGTGTGAGGGGTGTAAATTAAGTTGTTTATATTTTCCCAGTGGACTTTCGGTTTTGTTTCCCGTGGTTATTTTTAGCCTTATTATATCGTCTGGCACACTGTACGGCTGGGGTTCATGTTTGGTGGTTGAGTACGTTAAGATATCCTCACCAGAAGTGCCAGCCAACCATGCCTACATCCGTCTGTCTGTCCTTCTGTCCATCCATTCATCCACCTATCCATCAATACATTCATCCATGTACCCATCCAAAAGACACTGGCGTACCTACTCCCTGCCATAACCTGTGCCAAGAACTGTGGTGGGAGAAACAACAAAGTAAACACACGTAGTTCTACAATACGGAACTGCAGTCGAGAGCAGCGAAGTGTAAAATCAGAGACGTGTACTAAGTAGGCTGGTCGAGAGCCTGAGGAAGAAGGTGGCTGATTCTACTGCAAGAGGCACAGCTGGCATCAGCAGACAAAGTGGAAGGAAGAACAAGGGCTGGCCAGGTGAACGGCCAGGGGCGAGGGGTGGTGATGCCCTGCAGGGGGGAAACCACCAAGCCAACGGCACAGAACCACGGAACAGGATGGAAGACTGGTCACGGACTCTCCCACGAGCGGCCTTTACCAGGGATAGTCTGGTATCCATTATCAAGTCTCCGTATTTGCTGCCCCAAACTCAGAGGTTTTTAATTTATCGTTCTGGTTGATGTTGCAGAATCAAATTAGCTACCAGGCCAGGGTTTGACTTGTCGGACACTTTGGGATGGACAGAGCTCGGGATGGATCTACCCAATGACCTGAAGGCAGGGGAACTGAAAATTCCGATTATCAAGAGGTTCAGAAATATCCAGTTGGTTATCTTTTTTGGAAAAGGCGGACCAGAGAGCAAATGCTTTGGTTCTGACCTAGACGCGTGGCCCAGGTGAGAGCCATTCTCAAGGTTACGTGGGGCGTGACCGGAACATCACAGTAGCCATTTGGCTCAAGGAGCTAGCGTGTACTGATGAGCAACCAGATCTTTCGATTTGCCAGCTGAATTTACTCAAATCTCCCTCTTCTTTACTTCCCATCTCTACTTCTTCTACTCACTCCCCTTCTCCCGTCTTGCGGTGAGATCAGATGGCATGAGCCGGGAGATGAATTAGACACGATCACTCCTCTTCCGATTACATAGAAACCACTATACAGACGTTCTCGTGCCCCCTCATTTTCTGTGTTCCTTTAGGATTCACTATTCTGGACCGATGAGTCTGTATACTCAACACTAATATCATTTTATTGTTTTTCCTTTTGTTTTTTTATTAACAGTCCTTACTCCCTTGGGCAGGTATGGGGGGGGGCACGGACAGAATTTTTTGCTGAACAGTAATTTCATTATGAAGTTGGCAGGATGCGAGCACCGACTACCTTCAATTCCCCCAGCCAATTTCTAGGAAAGACAATTCATATTTTCTCAGACTTTCTCCCCATCTAAACTGGCTCCCAAGCAGAATTCTTTACCTAGGGAAATCCCATTACACACCCCACTGCTTGGTCCCCATTAACACCTGCTGGGTACTTGTATTAAACCGTAAAATCTTAACACTGCTTTGTTCCTCTCTCCAAAATGGTTTATAAACTTTTAGTGACCAGATGAAATATTAGAAATTCCGGGCGGCTTCCATTTCCATCCTCGCTATTTCCATCGGGACCGTAAATAGCAGGGA